AAATATAATAAATGAAAACTTGTTAATATAGAAGAAAGCATATAAAACCTAATTCAATTCAAAAATACTTTATTAATCACAAAGATAAATTAAACAATGAGTGAATGATGAGTCTTTCTAAATTTCTAATTTCTAAATACTTTGTTTCTTTGTAAAGTTGTTTGATCTAAATGCTACACAAAAATAATTTAAAAAATGTCATTGTATTTCTATAAGAATAATTTGTTATGACATTTTTCAGTAGATACTGGCAGAAATTGGGCCTTGTCTTGGACCAAGTTTTGAATTTTATCCCGCCCCCATTGTGTGACTGAGTGTGACACCTCTGGTCTAATGTGTGTTTAAGTGTAAAGAAACAGAAATGATTTTGTTGTTGCTGTTGATTTAACCCTCACCTGTAGTCCTCGTTGACCATAAGCGTGTTGGCCGCCCAGCCCGGGGAGAAGGGGTTGGGCAGTAAGTTGCTGGTGGGCACCACCGTGGGAGCCACGGAGGGTGGGACAGGCGTTAGAGGCGTGATGGACGCCCCGCTGACTCCGCTGTCGTTCCCCAGCAGCCCCGCATCCACACTGGGCCGAGCCAGGGAGATGGAGGACAGGAGGCTGATCACGTTCTCCGACAACCTCCGGCAGTTCCGCGTCGACACCAAGAAGGGTTTACTGCCGGAGAACAGCTCCTCCATGGAGGCAAGAGGGCCGGAGACGGAGAGCTGCAGTCCGGAAATCGTGTCTGAAATCTGCACGGGAGGGAAAGAGGAATGCGAGGCAGTTAAGAGCTGAGGAAAACCACAAAAACAGGCATAACATAGCATTTAACTCTGATGGAATCATAGTTGGCTAATGTGGCTCCAGATAGACTGCTAATGCATGGCATTCATCATCCATAACTCAACTGAGAGGTCAGAGATCATATCCTGTATGGAGCAAACTTCTAGAAGAGGAAGTCCAACTAACATTGGAGTGACGAGCAGAATCCACCATGAACTATCTTAGCAAGTGTGAAACTTCACAACACATATTTTACAAGTCTATGGGCTCAAACATCAAAGCTGAGAAATCACTTCTCATTGTTGCAGTTGTGTGACAAAAATTGTTATTTTGTTCACAAAGCAGTTCTGGCTGCCCTTCTCAACACAAGGCCCGGGAAAACTTTTTCTCACAAGCAAATGCTTCCGAGTTTTGGTTAGAAGTTTGTGGGAATGTTTGTTCATGCAGAAAAGCACTCTGACAGTTATGGCATCATTTTGCTTGTTGGGCGTCCAAACAACACAGATAGTTTTGAGGAGCAGAAAACTTAAAGGGATTCATGAATAGTTGTAACATTAGACTTTATTTAATAAACATATATTTTAACTGTAAAATAAAGACTGTAAAAATACTGTAGGATGTTCAGTTTTCATCATTTTTAAACTAAAAGTTTAAAAACACATTACACGGACGGGGCCATTTTATTTACACACAAAGCATTCTGGGTAAATGATGACGTGGATAGGTCATCGGCGCGAGGCTGCTAGCGAGCTATATCCACCCTGAAATTTAATCTTGGACAATATCTGACGATCGACTCTCAAATGAAACCAGAGAGCGTTGACAGAGAGGAGAAGGTAGAAATGACTCAGCCTG